GAACCACCCCCCCAGCCCCCCCCCCCCCCCCCCTTATTGGTTAACTTAACCACAACATACATTTTCCTGGAGCTGCTCCTCTGCCAGCACTGGTTTGTCAGCTTTGCATTTCACATCCTAAAAATTCAAAAAAGAAAGTGAGGTGTATGGAAAATGTCACATTAGCTTAAATAAAACATCCTCCAAAACTCAAAATGGTGATTGTAGGCAAACAGTGATATTTCGTCACACAAGTACACCTGTAGCACAACACACAGCCGAAGCCCAGAACTTAGAAGTGGAAAAAATAGTGTGAATCCAAGGAATATCAGGAATTACTAAAACCACACAGAACAGTTTTGGAGGCGTACAATGTAAGGAAAGGGCTTTTTGGGGGAGATTATCACGCATGGCCTATATTGTTCCTGAGCAATAAGAAGCTCTAAAGGAGAAGGAAGCGCATCCTCTGGGATGATGGGCACAGTAATTCCCATGCTGTGTGGAAACATGCAGGTACATGTGTGCTGAACCTCTAGCACACAGGTAGCTGAGACTCTTTGGTGCCTGCAGCAGGAAGGGGTTCAAAGTCATCCTTCCCCCTCCCTTTTTTGGTAGTCCTCAGCAGCACTGAGCATGCTGCCATTACTTAAATAAAGTAACTGCTTGAAGTGCATCATCCAGCCTTATTATAAATATCTCAAACAACGGCACTTCAGTCACAGGCCCCACTTGTATCCTTATTTCTTTCCATATCCTTGCAACACATTAAAAAAAATATTTTTTCTCTCCTACTTCTACAACTGCTTCCAGACGGTTGCAGTGCCCTGCCTTTGTTAGCTCTTAGCCAAACTTAGGCCACTTTGATCACAGTATTAGTTAGTTATCTTACCCCATGTTAAAAAAACCTGACAAACAGCCTAGTTTTCAGAAAAGCTGGGTACCAACTTCAAAAGACAACAGAGATATTCTGCATCTCAAAAGAATTTCTAATTGAGATGACAATTCATACATTTAAAAAAATACATAAATCAAATTTTAGGTAACTAAGCTTGAAAATACCGGCCTTGTTTGCTGGAGTTTTATTATGTTAAATCACACCAAACCCCACAGGCTTTTTATTTTTCCCTGCTTTTTTTTTTTTTTCCCCTGCATTTTTCTCCAAGCTTATTGTAACTATACAACTGTAACTATCATCCAAACGGATAACAAGAAAAAAGATAAAATGGTGATCTCATTGTATTATCAGAGGTGTCAGGGGAGAAATGGGAAGACTGCTTTGTCATTTTATGAGACTCTTCTAATGAGCAATGAAAAATTATTTCATACTTCCCTTCTTCATTCTGATATGTAACTAAAATCTGAAACTTCATCTTCACATCAAGTAAGCACCAAACATCACCTTTAAACCTCTCTTACCTTCTCCATTTAACTCAGACTATGCTAGAGGCACCTGAACAAAATAAAAACATTTCCAGCCCCTCCAGCACCATATTGTACACTCAGCTTCTGTCATAAGCCTGTGACCTGACTGGTTTAATCTAATTCAACTCCCTCAAATGCATTTTTATGAAGGCCCTCCTCTTTGCCAATGTTTCAAGGACATGTTTTCTATTTGTGGTAAAGACAGCTTATTGTTCCAAGTTCAAATCTTTTAAGGAAAATGAATCCATTCTCACATACCAAACATCAGGTTAGTTATCCCACCCACACAACATGAATTACGTACATGCTCTGCCAGGACACCAACAATGCAAGGTATTTCAGAGCACACACGATGACTGCTCAAGCCATTTTCACCTTTCTAAAATTAAAAGTTTTGAGAACATCTCAAAGCCCCATATATCAATTATTTTCCAATGACACCTTAGGGAAAGCAAGATAGCTACAGTCTTCAGAAAAACATGACCTTCTATCAGGCCACCTCAAACCTCAGCTAATAAGCATGCAGACTTTGCCTAACACTTCTGTTCTCTCCAGTTCAGAAATGAAGTTGTTTTCTTTTCCCCCCTCTTATCATCCAAGTCTACAATGATGTCCATTATATAACTTTATACTTTTTAAAGTGATGAAATAACAACAAAAAGTATCTTGGGAGAGACTGACAAATTTATCAGCAACAAATGAATAGAGAATGATGTGAATTTTTTAATTCTTTTTTTTATTACAGCTGTCACTCGGTGAGACATCCTGCCCATGTTTTGAGCTGCACATACTTGTGGAAGATCTCTGCTGATAAGCACATACTTTTTATTTACTCAGTGAACTTGATCTTACTTGTTGACTTTTACATTCCTGATTTCTCCTGACATATGACTGAGAAATTCAATAACAATGGTGAAGTAGCACTAGGCTCTAGTAGATACCATCATGCTATGAAAAACAAGGCACTACTTTCTTTCGCCTCAACAGTCACTAGAAGACTGCAAGAGAAATCTCTTTTCTTCAAAATAATGAGCTGTCTTATGCTGCACTGCAGTGTCAAATTCTTAATGCCAATATGACTACAAATCCATTTCCTTCTGGTCAGAAGGGACTGATCGCAACCATCAGCATTTACAAAAATAAGATACACTTAGAAATACTTGCCATGTAGTTTTAAAATCCTGATTGAAAGAAAACTCTGAAATTATGAAACTGGCTTTTGCCACTATTTTTCCTCCATTTATACCTCTAAACCAAGGGTTGGCCCAACTTAAGGCATTACAGAATGAGCAGTTGGATCTATAGGCATTTGAATACTTTTCTAAATCCACCTCCTAGCCCTTAACTTTTCAGTATCTACTTATCTAATGGAAAAATCAGTGAGTCACCTCTAAGCAAATATCCATTGAAAGAAGGCAGGGCTATGCAGCAGCCAGAAGAGTGACACACTCACTGCCTCCTGGTCTCGCCAGTGACCCGGGACAGGTCACTTCCCCTCTGTGCCGCAGCGGGGATAATAATACTGGCCTGCTGGATAACATGTTTTGAATTCCAAAGAGAAAAAGTAAATTGTAGCAGCCAGTTGCTGTTACATGAACAACTTAAGTGGAAAGATGAGATCATTTGGTATGGACATTGGGAAAGAAAAACTAAGTACTATGCTGATGTTCTCCTCACCTAGAGGCTCTCAAAAAATCCATGCCTTTGTCTATTACCTTTCTGCCATTGCCCTGTTCTGGACAACTCTTACCACCAATGCTCTTTCTCTTTTTTTTTAGCTTTCAGTCTAAAATACTGTAACTTCTACCCTTTGGCTCCACAATTTCCTTCTTTCTTTATTCAAGTTTGAAAAGAAGCTGACAATGTATTCTGGGTTCCCTGTTGTTCCAGCCGCATTTTCCCTCCACACCTATCTTGGATTGCTGCAAATTCCTGCCCCCCCGCCCTTACATTCACGCTTCCTCTAATACCTTTCAAAAAGCTGCACAGCATAATATCCTACACCCATAGTTCATTTTTGTACAGTACATTTTACATATTTTTATCCACCTTGGTCTTTGAGCAATTTTCCATGTTACCTTGTAATCCCTCAAAAGTTTCTTGCCAAGTTGAGCAAGAACAGCAATAAAATCAAGTGAATTACACCTGTAAATGCATACAATAAAACTCCGATTCATTTATATTCCAGTGCATCAAAGGAGGATTCTGCACAAGGCTACCAAATACAAATAATCCAACTTTTTTGTAATCCATTAGGGACACAAACCAATCCATTTCATGTGGGTGGTTAATTCTGATGCTTGAGTAGCACATAACACTTCCTGACTCTTGGAGTTCATAGACTCATTAATTACTTACTAGCTATAGAACACTATGTATATTCAGTTCATATTTGCAAAACCCAGGACACCCTTTGCAAAAGACATGATGGAGCAGGAAGAACATATTTAAGGAGGGGAAAAAAAACCCCAAATCCAGAAATGTCAAGTTTTCTTAGTTGAGGACAGCATACACAAACTGCACACACAGCAAGTCTCAGCCAATGCACTCCTTGAAAAAGGAGTAGGCTGTTGGACAAAAAGACTGTCTCAGCAAATTTTATGTACCTCTAGGTTAGTCACTCTTCAGCATGTTTAGTAGTTTTCCATTTTAAACTTTTAACATAGAGTCCAAAAAAAGAAATTAGAGCTGCACCCTGAAGGACTTTCAGATTTCTGATAATGCACAATCCTGACATATTAAACAACAAAAAACTCCATCTGTATCAATGAGAAGTTAAGTATTTATTACAGTGCATACTGACAGTACCACATTAAACCAAAAGTTATGGGCTTGATGTAGAAATTACTGAGAGTAACTCTATAGCTATGTTATTCAGGAGGCAAGACTAGATTATGATAATAGACATTTTGGCCTTAGAATTTATGAAGCTATGAATATAAATAAGAATATGATTTACAGACCACGCTTTTTTCTGAAGTTTGTCACACATGGATGGCAAGAGTGGAAACTCAATCCCCTCACTGAGAAAGAACTCAAGAGAGGGCCAAAATGCTACATAAAAACTCTTATCTCAATATTTTAACAAATTATACTGACTTTTTAGTTCATGAGAACAGTGTATGTATGCAAAGCTAAGAGCTTGATTCTGCTCTTACACGTACTGGATATTATTTGACAAAAGTGTGCTTTAGTACTCCAACACAAAGGTGGAGAGAAAACAAATCAAGCCAATAAGCCTCCATTTTCTAGGTTCTAATCATCATTAAATAGCGCTTTAAGTCACTTACAGCTTTGTTGGATTCCTCATCAGTCAAGCTTTTCATGACAACTTCCAAATTCGGGTCGTCTTCGCTGCTTGCAGGTTCAGTGCCACCATGATCCTGGTAGAAAGGATTGGTAACAGTTTTTAAACAGCTATGATCCCCCATAACAGCTAAAGAAAATAATTAGACAATTTTACCTTTTCTTATGTTTTTCTAAACAAGAAGCAGCATGAAAAAGTAAAAAAAGATCCAAAATTAAAGCATCCTAATGTTAGGAGACAAATAAGCAATACAAGTTTTGAAAGACAGACCTTGGTCTCCACTTGGACGGCCCGAAGTACCATGAGATAGTCCAATACTAGCACTTAGGTGCAGATCTGGGTCAACTTTCAAGGCCAGACTAATCCCTACCAACTGTGAAAACTGTTAAGTTTCTGTTAAGAGGCCTTCTCCAGACTTTTGTCAGGAGGGAGAGTCTCACGCATGCTCAGCATGTTAAAGGAAGCCCAGTTTCCTTCATACAATCTGAAGGGGTTGGTAGCAGCAGGACTGAGTGCTCCACCCTGGAGGAATTGGTAAAGCTGAAGCTCTTCTAGTTAGAGCTCATGGCCACCAAGTGCAGCAGGCTTAAGCCAGCACTGAAGCACAATCCTCAACCTGAAGTACAAATGTAGCCCCAGGATTCAGGTAGTTCTGCATTATTGCGAGAATACTGCAAACAACATTCACTGACAACTACTGGAGAACCAGCAAATGACCCTGAATGTCCCAAAAGACATAAGTATTTTCACAAACATGTGCTCCAGGACTTTCTCCTGCATGAGGTTTTTCTCTCTCTTTAGAGGATTCCCAACAAAAATGGCCCTTGAAACATAAAATAGCACCATACTAAGCAGAAAAGCTTGTCTGATCAGGATTTTCTGCTATTTTCTCTAGATAATAACTAGAATATATTTAAGTAGCATATGCTTGCAAGAAAAAATTAGTGCCTTCCCATACAGACAATTAAAGTTAAGATAGATAGGAAATGGCATCTTTTCAGGAAAAATATTAAGTTAGAATTGAAAGTTTAGATTATCACTGATTTGGTTACATGTAAAATTTAACATATTAATTCTCCTTCCCTTTTTTAAACCAACCAGGTCCTGAATCTGGAAAAATTTTTGATCTATTATTTTGATTTACTTTATTTTAAAATAGTTTCAATACACTTAAGCCTTTGATCCAAATTTGGAGCTGTTCTCTCTTGCAAAGCAAAATGGACTATGTGCAACAAATCAAATTTCAAGATCTTAGGTCCTAGAGGTAAAATTATTTCTGAATTTTCATTAGACATTTTACATTTAAGTGCACAATGAGGGTTACATAAATGTCTCGACCACCACTTGAGCAGGCAAAGTACCTCTGCATTAGGACAAGGCTCACTCTGTTCAGTATTGCAACAAGATATCTCATTCTGTGGTTTTCTGATGAATGAAACTTTTAAAACCCAGATATTTTACAGTAATTAATATTTACTATACTTTGCTTCTGGTGGTTTGCCCACAGCATAGTCTTACCCTGTCCTGCAACTCCATGCAATGAAGCAAGACCCTGTTTTAAGGCATATTTACTGTTTATCACTTTCCATATTAAAGTACCTTAATGAAGATATAGAGATAAGATGATGAAAATTAACACAATAGTACATGGTAACTATGGCACCCTGATACTCTGTTATACTAGCCAGGCTATTTAATGTGATCTGACAAGTTTCATGCACAGTCTATGTAACATACAATGTTAAATATTTATTTGGTATTTCAAAGACATTTGAAGATATAATTTCAAGATATAATGCACACTCAGTTTTGTTTTGCTTTATTTAAAGACAGGAACAGCTGCCAAAGGGGAGTGATGTAAACTTCTACAAGCAACAGTATCTTTTGGTTACATTTATTTTATATAATAAAAAGATACTAGCTAGAAGTAAGAACCTGCATTTACTTATAAAACAGACACAATGTAAATAGTAAGAGCTTGCCATTAATGCATGAAACTCAACCCACAAGCATCTACTTCTAAAAGCAAACATCGCATATGAGGCTGAGTGCTTTGGTTTCCACATGCTGGTAGAGTCTAATTACGGTCATTTGACCACAGCACAGAATGTGCCTAAACAAAGCTTTGTGGTTCATCCTGAAGACATAAATATTAAACAAAGCTGGGAACAAATGCAGGTATTAAAGAGTCAACAAAAATAAAATGAACTTGGGCTTTCTAAATTGTGGAGTAATTTGCAATGCACCAGCTGCACCCGGGACATGCTGCTTTGGTGGAGGAGAGAACAAAAAGCCAAAGCACTGTCCAAAAATGACTCAGATCCAAACAAAAACTAAGCAGCTCTTGCACTGTAAAGCACTACGCCTGTATGGAAGTAGCCATCAGTGGTAATATAATCTGAAAAGCAACAGCAAGTGTGCAAACAGGAGATTCATCCAGCATTACCTAGCATGGACCAGTGCTGTGGGATCACAGTAATGCTTATTGAAATACCAGGAGTTCAATGCACATGAATTTATCAATTCAAGGCAAGACCAAATCCCAATTGCATTATAAAACATATTTTCCTTTATTAGCTCAAATAGAAATAGAATTAAAAAGCAACAGCAAGGCTAACCATGTACTTTATCTACAAAATTTAGTTACACCATACTGAGATGTCAAAACGATAACAATGTGGTGACACTGTAGGGATTCATGGTGCACAAGAGAGCAATCAGTCTACACTGAGGCTGAGACTGCAACTATAATGAAGAAAAACATTCGTAAGATCACTGCACAAAAGCAGATTTTGCATTGGAAGACTGTATGCTACAACACTGTGTACTAGAGCTCACTGCTTAAACAG